GAAAAAAAACTTTTCTTTTTCAAATAATGTTACAGGATCTTTAACACCACCTGAACAGACAGGATGGAAATTTGGTTTAACAACTCAACTGAAGAACAGCATCACCGACAAGGCAACGTTTCCCAGACACTATGGTATCAACCTTCACTGAGCACTCAAAGTCCCATCACGAGTCTTGAATTCACATCCTTCTAATCCAGAAACAAGAGTTCTACCAACTGAACCAAGTTAACAGCTAAGTTACCAATATTGACTTACCATTCCAAATTTATAACATTGTATGTGCAGGACTCCTTCTTTGATGAGGCTTTCCATTTTGTCTTTCTTGGCTTCTCTTTCAAGTCTGTCAAACAGTTGCTGTACAGATCTATACAGGATAATGGTAACTTCACTTCCTATAGTCTTACTTCCTTTTTTCTAATAACATTTGATTTGACTCAGTCTTGTCCTCACATAACTGACATATCCTGCAGAATAAATTCAATTCCACTAGCTTTCTTCATTAACTTTGTTTCCACCCAGTTACTCTAACACACATTGTACTGAAACCCAAACTTTTCATTGGGTATTTTACCTTGCTGTGAATTTTGTACCTCTACACTTTGCATTATGTAAAGTTCTAGCTGGTTAGTCTCCAGCAGTTACCCCAATGCACTCTTAATGGGAAATCTTATTCTAAATGTAGAACAAAGCGTTTGCTGGCATTGGCGTTAACTGAGAGAAAAAAGAGCTGGTGAATGACAGAAAAGAGAACTCATTAACTGAAAGAAGAGGGGATATTAAAGTTCCCTTTGGTGTTCAATAGCATGTTCCCATCTACTTGAGCTTTCTGCCTTTCTCTCACTTCTTATGTTACCTTCTTTCACATTGGTTCTCTCGTTTTCTAATCTCCTTAGAGATTTTGCACCCAGTACCCATGTTGGATTTCTGTGAATTACGTTTGCTGTGAATTCTGCTCCTCTGCATTTTGCATTATATAAAGGTTTTAGCTCGTTAGACACCAGCAGTTATCCCAACACACATTCTGGGGTCCCCAAGCCTTGGCTATTGCCAAACTGCACCTAATATTTTCCAGAAGTAGGTAAACAGGATGCGTCCTTAATTGCAACAATCTATCTTTGGAATTTCCATGTGTAGGTGGGATGCATGGAATTCTCAGTTTAGTTTGGATACTGTTAAGCATGGTGATGGGTTTCTGTCAGACACCCGACTAACCTAAAAAAAAAGTTATAGCTGTTAGAATGATCCTCTGTCAATGTGGGGTTCAAGCAATATGCATGTTTGTTAGCATTAATACCTCCCTCTTCCAGCATTACCATTGTCACAGACTCAGTACTCTGCTCCGATATAGTGCCTGTCATCAATATCAGTAAGTCAGCTGTATTAGAAAAAATGGGTCACAGTGTAAAATAAGATTATATAATACAATATAACATGACAGTTGTAGGACCATAAAATCCCAACCTGCGTAAGAACAAGGGTATCATCCCTGGTTAGTGCTTCCACATTCACTGCAAAGCGAAAATGCAATAGGTGCAATATATGACTGCCTGATGCTTGATGTGAGTGTTGATAATCTAGCATCAATATTCTGATGCTAGGGTTGTTCCTGGAAACGGATGCTGTACTGTCTTGTGGTTTTGTTTAGGGTTCAAAGCTGCTGATCTCATGTTTGAGGTGGAAATGAAGAAGCTCTGGCTTCCTTGAAAGGAGTAGAGCCTGAGTTAGCAAGAAAAGATAATAATATTAATAATCCTTACATTCGGTACAGCGCCTTTCACGTCAGAAGGATGTCTCAAAGATTTTAACAGGATATATTGTAATTTACAGTGTGTGTTTTGTGGGTGAACGCGGCAGCCAACTTGTGCACAGCAATGTCCCACAAATAGCCATGAGGCGAATGAACAATTTTATTTGGGGATTGTTGGTCCTGACGGGTTCTTTAATGTCCACCTGACCTGATAGACTGGGTCTCAATTTAACGTTGAAAGGATGGCACCGCCAACATTGCAACGTTTCTCCATCACTGTACTGTGCGGCCATCCTAGACTGTGAGCTCAAAGCCTTTAACCCCTGAAGCGAGAAAAAAGAAAGAATTGTGAACGCGATTCAGTTGATAACAGTATCTTTGTTTGTGCCAACTAGAAACCTGAGCTCAGCTGCTGTTCTTCTCTGTGTAACAATATTGTACTAATATTCATGCAGAAAGATTAATGATTGCTGTGTAATATTTCACAAGAAATTACATTGTAGCAGATTTCAATGAGATTGGCTGGATACTGAATGCATTCAGTTAGTTACATTTTATATTTACAGAGAAACAAAGTTGGAAAATAAATCAAAAAGTTTCTTTCAAAAATGATTTGAATGGGTTGGAAGAGTAAATAGAATTTTTTTTCATGTTTCTCTTTCCTACTGTGGGAAAGAGAGACATGAAAAATTTCATGACCACAACAGCTGAACAAACAGTTCAGAGCAAACCTGAAGATCAAACAAAATTTGTCTTAAAAGATACAAGGAAACAGAGAGTTGATCAAAGACACTGCAAGTTAAATGAAAAGTATTAGAAGGAGTAAGGCAGAAATCCAGATAGCAATCCAGATCTTTTTTTCAATAGTCAACAAATTACACACTTTTCATGTCAGGAGACGTCCCAAGGTGTTTAAAAAAAATGTTTGGAGTAAAAGACATGCAAAGCCTCAGATAGGTCAGGAGATAGCAGATTATTCATAGATTTCAAGAACAATTCCAAATTCAGGCATTGTGGCTCAGGAAGCTTTAACTCGAATAGAGCATACGTTACCAAGAAACTCTTCAGCTCATAGTGTATGAGGGGTGTCTGCCTCATTGTGGGAGGTGCTGAAATCGAGTGAGACCGCCCCATTCAGGTGAACCTTAAATGATCCCATGGCACTATTCAAAAAGAGAAGGGAGTTTACAGTGAATTTTGTGTAACGCTTAGAGACAGCAGTGCCTTTCACGTCGAGAGGACATCCCAAGACGCTGAACAGTCAGGGATCAGAACCCGAGCGTGGGGGAGGGAGGGGCGCAGGGTTGGGGTGAGGGAGGGCAGAGAGGTAGCAGGATGGCTGAAGGCATGGTCGAAAAGGAGGGTCTTGAGTCATGTCTTGAAGGAGGCAAGGGAGGAAGTGAGGCAAAGGGACTGTGGGATGGAGTTACAAAGTTATGGGGCAGAGAGGCTGAAAGCCCGGCCGCTGATTCTAGGACGGGTTGGGCAGGAGACATGGAGCAGGCCGGAGTCTGCTGAATGGATGGAGTGGACAGGTTGATTAACCTGTCAACCCCCTGTTGATTAACAGGAGGTTACCAGATCAGAGAGGTAGGAGAGAGCAAGGCCTTGAAGAGTCTTGAAAGTGAGGACACGGATTTTGAACTCTATCCTCGGGATGGGAAGCCAGTTGAACTGGGTGAGGGTGGGGGTTTTGGGGTCACGGAGCTTGATGAGGGAGAGGACACAAGCTACAAAGTTCTGGAAGAGATGGGGAGGCCGACAAGGAGGGAGTTTCCTTGAGGTGTGTATGAGGGTTTCGGTGGCTTGAGGGGTGAGGCTGTGGCGGAGTCAGGCAATGTTGCGGAGGTGGAGCAAGGCAGAGTGAGTCATGGCATGGATATAGGGAAGAAAGGACAGTTGAGGGTCGAACAAGATGCCCAGGTTCCTGACTGGCTTGGTGAGGTGGAGTGTGCATCCGTGAATGTTGATGCTGCCAGTGTTTGAGATACGGAGTCCCTGGCACAAGCCAATCAGGAGGGCCTCAGTCTTGTTGACATTCAGCTGTAGAAAGTTGGCTCTCATCCAGGACTTGATGTCTGACAGACAGTCTGTCAGGACGTCAATTGTCTTGGAATCGAGGGTGGAGGCAGAGTTGGGTGTCATCCGCGTACATCTGGAAGTTGACCGCATGTCTGCAGATGATGTTACCAAGGGGGAGCATGTAGAGGTTGAAGAGGATGGGATCAAGAACAGAGCCCTGAGGAACACCACATGAGACTGTGTGGGAGCTGGAAGAGAAACCTTTGACGGAGACAAATTGGAGATGGTGTGAGAGATAAAGGACAGAACTTTGAAGGTTGAGGTGAGAGGAGAGGCAGTGGAGGACGATGGAGTAGTCCATGGTATTAAAGGCAGCAGAGAAGTCGAGGAGGGCGAGGAGGCAGAGGGAGCCCTGGTCACAGATGGACAGGATGTCATTTGTGACCTTGACCAGAATAGTTTCCGTGCTGTGGGAAACCAGATTGGAGGGGCTCGTGAAGAGACTGGTAGGAGATTAAGGAGCGAAACAATGACTCTTTCAATGACCTTGGAAAGAAAAGGAGGTTGGAGATGGGCCAGTAATTAGAAAGCAGGGATGGGTCCAGGGAAGGTTCTTTCAGGATGGGGGTGATTATAGCTGTTTTTAGGGGGATGGGAAGTGAACCAGATGATAGGGAGAAATTAATGGTGTCGGAGAATAGGGGGACGAGGAGGTGGAGCTGGGAGGTAGGATTGGGGTGGGGATGGGGTCAAGGGAGCAGGTGGTGTGTTTCATGCTGGATATGGTAGTGATGAGAGGAGGGGGACACAGGCCCGAAGATGTGGAGGAAGGGGTGGGTAGGGCTTGGAGTGTGGGGGGAGATGGGGAGGGAGTGCCGGTTGGGTGGAGGCAGCTGAATAGATCCCTCGATTTTGGGGGCTGTGGCAATCTCGGTAGCCCCGGTTCCTGAGCCTGACAAGTCCGCAGTATTCGAGGGCACTGCTGATGACAGCACAGCCAGCCTGGCTCATTGGCAGAATCTGGAAGGGCAGACCAGTCACTGGGGGCAGGGACTTCTCCCATTCGGCTTCTGTTAACTACATGCTGTTAACAAAGCCCAAAGCCCTAAAGGTAGGGTTCGCCTAGCTAGACAGGAGGTGGGAAAGGTTGCCAGAAACTGCCTTCAATGTGAAGCAGATAACAAAATGGGATGCACAGAAATAATGACCTTCACTACGCATGTAAAGCTGACTTCTTGTTATGATATGTTTAGTGCTCATTTTAATCTATGACAAAAAACATTATTACATTGTTGAACACCCAATAAAGCCCCAATATACCAGTATCTGTTTTGATATAATTATACAATATCACAGCATATTCTTTATACTCTTGGTTTTCTTGCTTTCTTAAACCTTTGATTTTGCATCAGAAGCATTTCCTTCATTTTCAAGTTTATTTTTATTGTTAATTCCTGTGTTCATCCCTTTGTCCTCAGTTTCTACACAATGTCTATTAAATGGCTTCCCAGTGGCATCAAGATAGGATCCATCTTCAGTGTTGTGTTGGAACCTGCCACTTTCTGATGTACATCGTTTGGTTGGATGCTCAGCTCCTTGGGACAAACCATGCCCTTTTGCAACAGATTCAGAGGAAACAAGCTGATTTATTTGTTCCTGGGAGACTTTTCCCATCGTTTTTTGCATTTTCTTTGTTTGCTTTATCAGCCATTCCTTGATATCAGCAATCTTCCCTTTATTCTTCTCACTTGTTGAGAAACTGTACCTTCGGGTCTTTTCCTATTGAGGAAAGGCAAGAAAATTAGGTATTATAGAGCCATTTCAAAATGGGATTAGTGGGGAGTGGGGGAGGTGGGGGGGAAGGAGAAAGAACTTGTCCAAGAAACAAATGTAAAATAACAACTTGAATTTGAAAAACACTCTTCAGGCAGGGGAGAATCTTGAAGTCTTAAATGTAATGTTCTTTCCCCTAGGAAACTTTGTTCTATTCTGATTCACAAATCTATCTATTTCTCTTCTGAATAAAACTTTATCCATGCTACATGAGATATGTGGCAGGCTGTAACAATAATTCACAGTCAATGTAATCAGTGTCAGTCTATGGTCAAACATTTATGGTGAGGATAATACTGTAACTGCTTACTCCCATCTCCACCAACCGCTGCCTCCGTGCAGCTGGTTCTTGTCTCCTGCTTGTCCCTTTTCCTTTTTGTTCCACCTGTTCTTTCAGCTAGCAGCTGTTCTTTCAGCCAGTATGCCCCAAAACTTTGGAGCTCTCTCTCTGAATCCCTCTGCCTTGTCCCCTGCTTTCCCTTTTTCAGATCGAGGCTGAAGACCTTCCTCATTGACCGTGCTTGCCGTCACCTCCTACCTCCCCTGGCTCGGCATCAGGCTCCGCCACAGTTAAACGCAAGAAAGAAAAACAAATAAATCAAGAGACCCATCTTACAATGTTAAAATCCCTTGTTCTGATAGAAGGAAACGGAGCTGGTATGTAATATTTGCTTAAGCAAATGCCCTTCAATAATCCTGCAACAAAAATAGTTGTGTCAATCTATTAATACATAAAACCCTTTCAGACCAACCTCTTTGTTATTCTCATTTGACGATGACCCGGCCATTTTGTCACTTATCTGGACAGAGGTGTTGGTTAAATTGTACGGTATCTCCGCACGTTGATACTGTTCTTCTTTATGGCAAGGTTCAGTGTGACAACATGCAGCATCCATGTCTTTTTTATTGCCAAACAGACATGCGTCTTTCAGGCTTTGAATCGAAATTCCATAATATGCTGTATTTTTGTATTGTAGCTTGAGCTTTTGCATAGTGATAAATGCATGTTTCAAGGCTATATTTGCTCGAATGCGCTCTGAGGGGTCGAGGTTGAGAATTTTCTTGATGAGATCCACCATCATCTTCTGATCATGCAATTCAGCCTTGACCTCTGCACTTGGGAATGACTCAATGTTGGTTCTCTCGAGTTGGTCCAGTGAACTCAATGTAAATATCCTGCTTTCTGAAGACTGCTGCGTAGTTTCTTCTGAATACTCCTCCTTAGATTTCAGTTCCCATTTCAGGTGCAAATTCTGCTTGAAAAACAGATGGGTCTTGATTCCCGAACTCAACTGCTTTATCTTTGGTAACCCTTGGGTTTCAACAATGTATCTAATTTGGTCATACTCATTACTGCCAGGATAGAGAGGCCAGCCAAGATGAAGTTCTACAATAACACAACCAAAGGACCACATGTCCATCTGTTCACAGAAGGGCAACCCAAGCAAGATTTCTGGAGCTCTGTAAAACCTGGACTGGATGTATGGTCCTAGGATGGAGTGAAAAAAACATTACTTCATTTCTTTTGACAGAAAATACTGTAGTAATAATAATAATCCTTATATCTGATACAGCCTCTTTCATGTTGGAAGGGCTTTACAAAGCGCTTCACAAGATTTACTGTAAAGTGGGAAGATTGTGTTGTTTTATTTAGTAGGCCAATGTGGCAGCCAATTTTGCACACAGCAATGTCAAACAAACAGCCACAAAATGAATGCTGGGCATTTTCGAATAGTATCATGAGGTCTTTAACATCCAGCTGAACAGGCAGACAAAATCTCAGCTTAACATTTCATACAAAGGACAATATCACCATCAATGCAGTAAACAGATAGACAAGGCTATGAAGTAGGTAGATAAGGCTATAAAAAGTTCCATGAAGTATATGGAAGGCCTAAGTAATGGATGAAGAGTTGTGTGGAGTATAAACACAGGACTGATTGGGCATTTAATATGACTCGTGCAAAGTATGAGTTATGTCAAACTTGCAACAAATGTTGAACAGGACTTGGCCAGATGCACGACTTAGGTGATTATATGATTTATACTTATGCAAGTTTTACTGTAGTACTTATGTTTTGAATTAAAAAACTTGAGTTTTGGTAAGCTTCGCGGGCCACACACTTAATATAGATGCAATGCTTAATAATAGCTCAAAATCAAGTCTTATCCTTGTACATGTATAAAATAAAGTCTATATAATTGAATTCATTAAAATTAGGTAAAATAAAAACAACTCATTGAGCAGACATTTATTCGATATTTATTCATTTATTCAAATATTGATGAGAATGTGAGAAGCTCGCTCAATGGGAAGAATGAAAGCCCTAATGTGTGTTAATCAGACAATTGAAGTCAGGCATCGTCTCCGTTGTTGCAATGTGGAGTACTACTGCAAGGTAGTCATCAGACATCACAAATCTATGTTTTGATTTATTGAATTTCATCACAGAAAATGTCTCCTCACAAGCATCTTCCAGGCATGAGCCTTTATTTTTGGAAAGGTATATTCATTAAGAGAGGCATAAAAACTGGGAAGCGGCACTGATTTGAATTGCTCCACAAGCAATGGATCACATTGCAGGTCAAAAAGCTTGAGTTGGAGGTCAATTGGGGCTTTGTCAACATCAAATGAGAAAGAGACCAAAGACAGGACATTTTCGATCAAATTGAAATCCTGGAATCGGGGAGAATCTTACAGAGGACCTCTTGGTGGATAATGCAGTGTAGAAAAATAATATTCTGTTCTGGATTTGTTTCTTTGACTTGATCTTGAATTCTTTTCAGTAACCCAACATTTTTGCCTGTCAGATTTGAGCTTCCATTGGTGGTCACATTCACCATTTTTTTCCACTCCACTCCTAATTTTAAGATACACTTATTTACTGCCTCCAAAAAGTCTTCTCCAGGTGTTGTATCTTTCATTGACTGCATTGATGCCAAATCTTCTGTGAGCTCAAAATGTTTGGTGATACCTCGAATAAAAATGATCAACTGGGCTGTGTCTTTGACATCACAACACTCATCGAATGCCAGTGAAAAACATGCAAAATTGCTTACTTTATTTTGTAACTACACAGTATTTTTATTTTCTTTATTTATTTTATAATTTATTTTTATTTTATTTGTTTTTTTCCATCCACACAAAAATATTTAGAAGTCCATTCTTTGTTGAATATTCGGCCTTCAGAGTCCACTTTCGGCTTCTTTGATAAACTCATTTCGAATTAATGTCCTCTTCAGTGAATAGTATTGTCGCTGTCGCCACTCGCGCGTTTGAAAATTTGCCGATCCGTACATTTCTGACATCAGCCTGATTCAACACTTAAGGGAGCGTGCACACAACTAACCAGTGTGATTGGCTAATGTTCCCGGTCTGATTCAAGTGCAAAATTTGTGCAACTTTCTGGGACTGAACAAACTATAATTTTTTCTATTGCTAGACACAATGACGGGCCAGATAGAATCATTTAGCGGCCCGGATATTTGTCCTTCCCTGGCCTAGACTCTATGAGTTCCAAGTCCCAGCATGGGGCTTGAACCCAAACCTGATTCAGAGGCAAAAATGCTACCAACTGAACCCGACTGACATGGTGGGTTTCATAGCTTGACCATTAAGATAAAGTAGCAGAGAGCGCTTGGTGGCTTTGGCATTGGACCCTACACCATAGTTTAATCTGTTGCTAACTGGGTACTGAGTCAGAATCCCCCACATGGTCTGTGACACTATTGCCATAATAAAATGCAATTCGGATATTGTTTTCACAATGCCTTAATTCCAGTTCCACGCCCACCACCCCCCTCCCCCCATCATCTTCCCAACAATTCTCTACACCAGTATTCTCTCTTGAATACATTTGATTAATTTCCTTTTATCAGGACCATGGACATCTGAGGTCTGAGCACACCAACTTTACACAGACTCAGGATCAAAACTGGAGCCTTCCGAGTTGGCTTAGATTGCATAAGCAGCGACGTTTACCAACTGAGACATTAGAAAGACAATACAGTAAACCTCACATAAGCCGTATCAGTTGGGACCATACATTTAATATGACTTATGCAAAGTGTGAGTTATGTCAAATTTGCAATAGAATATAAAATGTTGAACAGGACTTGGGGAGATGCATGACTTAGGTGATTATATGATTTATACTTATGCAAGTTTTACTTTAGTACTTTTGAATTCAAAAACTTCAAAACTAAGCAGAAAGGATAGAATAAATATCAAAAGGTATATCAAAGGTAACATAGTCACTACAGCTAAGAGTATCATGGATTTTCTTGTTAGCAAAGAAAGAATTAAGATATGCCCAAACCTTTAATATGTTGGATATCAGCCAGTACACTGGCCGATCCAAAATCAATCAATTTGACTTTGAAAGGGTACCGACTGTGATTGACCAACATGATATTTTCAGGCTTGATGTCCGTGTGGGCAATGGAGAGCTCCTTCAGCTTCTGTAGAGCTGTCAAGACCTGTTTGCTGATGGTACGAATGTGTCTGACTGGAATCGGAGCAAAGTTGTGATCCTTCTGAAACTCAAACAGGTTTTGCTCCAGCAGTTCAAACACCAGACACAATTTGTCATTGTCGTTGAAATATTCAAAAAGGTGGATGAAATAAAATTTATCTGCATTAAATGTTCCCAAAATCTTTAATATTTTTAACTCAGACTTCAAATATCCTGACCGTTCAGTAAAACTGTTGAGGATTTTGATGGCTACAAACTGGCCAGTGCTTCTTTTCCAGCATTTAGCAACTTCTCCAAATGTTCCCTTTCCTAAAATGTCCACCATGTCATAGACATCGGTATCCGAATGCATCACAAACATCTTCAGAGGGACTTGGCCCGAGCCCTTGGCTTGCTCATCCTTTAACCAAAGATTCCCGTTGTGGTCAACAGAACTATTGAGATGTTCCACTGCTGCTACGATGATGCAGAAGGTATCTCTATTGTGACATAAGTCACCCCACCCCACCCTCCCTTTACACAGCAATGGAATCTCAATCAACAATGCTCTCACTTGTATTGTTACTGGACAGGTTGTGCTGTGACGAAGGGGGCATCATTAATTCACTCCTGTGTTAGCTAGTATTGAAGGGAGAGAAAAAACAGACTTGAGAAAGGGGATTGTTTCCAGCACAAAAATCTGGGGTCATATGCCGCAATACGGGTTGGTGTGAAATCCGGGAATGGATTTTACCTGGGCCTTTTTCCACTCTTTTCTATGAATCTGCATATGCAACGTGTAACATTTCACCTGCATCCATAAGCCAATTCTATCATTGGTTGGTTTCACAGTATCAATCCAGCCAGGATGTCTCACCATGGGTTGAAGACATATCTAGAGTTCTTAAGTTTACTCATACGCCAAATGAACAATACTCTGCATTATTGCAATGTGACTTCTTGGGAGTCATGATAATACTCCTATAGTCTTGGTACTCCATTGCCACAAGGGGGTGTGCCACATTGTTGGAGGCAACTTCTTCAGATCTTAAACCAAGATCTGTTCAGATAGATGTTAAAGATCCCCTGATACTAATTGAAAAGAGAAGGTAACTTCTCCTGATGGCCTGGCCAACAATCATCCATATTTAATCCTCCAAAACTCCAAAATAATAATCCCTCCAAAACAAAAAATAATAAAATTGATCATTTCAATCCACGACTGTTTGTGGGACACTGCTGTGCGCAATTGGCTGCCGCGTTTCGCCCAGAAATATACGGTCAATTCACTTTACAGTCTATTCTGTGAAGTGCTTTGAGACGTCGAGAAGACATGAAAAATGCTACATCGAATGCAAGGTGAGGTTCACCTCACCCCTCAAGCTGCTGAAACGCTTGTTCATGCCTTCATCACCTCCAGGCTCGACTATGCAAACATCCTGTTTGTCGGCCTTCCCAACTCCTCCCTCCATCGGCTGCAGATAATCCAGAACTCTGCAGCCTGTATCCTCTCCTGCACCAAACTCCGTGACCCCATCTCCCCCATTCTCACCCGACTCCATTGGCTCCCTATCCTTCAGAGGATCCAGTTTAAAATCCTGGTCCTCACCTACAAAGTCCTCCATGGCTTCACCCCATCCTATCTTTGTGACCTCCTAACCCCCTACCAACCCGCCAGCTCCCTCCGCTCAGCCAGCTCTGGCCTGCTCTACGTCCCCCAATCCACACGTCCCACCATTGGCGGGAGAGCCTTCAGCCACTCTACCTCCAACCTCTGGAATTCCATCTCCCAGTCACTCCACCTCACCCCCTCCTTAGCCTCCTTCAAGTCCCACCTCAAGACCCTCCTCTTTGACCATCGGCCACCCCCCTTCCCCTCCCCTCCCTTCTCCCCCCCTGACCCCAGCTCGGGTCTGAAATGCTGTACACTGTTCAGCACCTTGGGATGTCCTCCTGCTGTGAAAGGCGCTATACAAATGTAATTTTGCTTTTCATAGAATCATAGAATCGTATAGCACAAAAAGAGGCCATTCGGCCCATCGAGTTTGTGCCGGCTCTTTGAATAGTTGTTGTTGTTGTTTGTGGGATTTTTCTGCGTGCAATAATGGCTGTCATCTACACACCTGACAGTAATTACTGTGAAGCACTTGAAACATTTCAATGTTATAAGTGCTGTAAAATATAAATTTACCTGCTAAAAGCTCCTTGCTTCTTCATGCCTCTACCAACAGGTGGCACTATTTGATACACACATTGTCATTGGATTACATCTTCAGACTGTTCCTTTCTCTGCATGCTGCAGTTGAGAGATTTCATGTGTGCTTTAAGTACTCCTTATAACTGATTAAAAATAGAATCATTTATGCCACATCTATACTTGGAGAGCATTTAGCATCAGAACTGTAGTGAACTCTTCCACATGTGGTCTCTGATTGGAGAACAGCCCTAGTTAGCTTTACATCTGTTGGGATCCGGTCCATTTTCAGCTTTTTTTGATACTTGCATGTGTGATTCAGGCAGCGCAATCCGTGTTACAAAATCCCAAAGGTGTACTGAATGATTAGTTAGGTAATGCTCACCGAAAGCTCAGAGCAGGTGCCATAGTGCCATATCAACAACAACTTGCATTTATACAGCTCCCTTCACGTGGGGTGTATATACAAATATACAAAGAAACATCTCTGATGCTGAGCATCACCAGAAAGCTCACAGAGTGTTCCTAGTACCTACCATTCTGCTCCTGAGGGCTTGTTAGATTTCAAATGACTAACTAGTGACTATCATCCGGGGGTGGGGGAGGGGGGGAAGATAAAGAGTAGGAGGAAATAGGTAAAGCCAGGTCCTCTTGGAGCTGAACTGGCTCCAGGGTATAAGTTTGGTAATGGAATGTCAGAATTGAGCCAGCCCTCTGTGGTTGTCCAGTTCCTGAGCCAGGTGGGTCCACAATACTGCTGATGCCAGCTCAGCCAGTCTGTCTGTCTCATTGGCAGAAGGGCAGACCAGTTACTAGGGGGACGCATCCTGCTTACCTAATTCTAGAATGCATTAGACACAGGTTGGCAAGAGCCAAGGCTTGGGGAATCCAGAGCACGCATTGGGGTACTGCTGGAATCTAACCAGCTAAAAACTACATTGAAACACTGTCTGGCAAACTTTCATACAGAACCACCCTACTCTTTAGGCCTTTGGTTTGCAGGTTTAACAGGAACTTAGTGGGAGGAGTCCCTGCCCCCTGGAATTGGTCTATCGCTCTGACTCATGATGTTGAGCAAGTTCACCTCCAAGGACCCACATCGTAACTAAATGCTGAAAAAAACACACATTTTAAAGCTAACAAACATACACATCTGATACCTGTCACGATCCCCTCAAAAAAACAAGATACAACTTTAATGAGTCTCTTTTTTTTATTTGAAACAGCATTTGACCCATTAAATAACAGTTTGAGCAGGAGGTCGAAGGGGGTTGAGTTTTCTACTCAAGGCCAGTGTGGCAGCCCCAACCTGATAAAAGGATAAGGGTAAAGGAAAACATGGGATCGCTTTCCAAATATCTAATTCTTTAAAATTACTTCTGAAGAACTTAGAGAGGTGCTGAAACCAACACATACAGGCAGCCAGGGGAAGTATATCCTGGAGGTGAAAATAGAAGCTTGATGGAGAATAGAGACTAGGACTGTTTTAGTTGCATCTGTTGAATCTCGTCTGGATTCAAACAAGATGAAGGAAGGTATTTTGGTAACCCATCGGACAACCCCTTCCCCCTTTACTCTAGCATTTCAGATAATTGGATATTTAGCACAATACACCTCAGTGCTGCACTGCACAGTCACTTACAGTGAAACTACACCTGAAAAGAAACATTTGACAGTCAGTATAAACTGGTCCGGAAGCATTCCTGTGATAATTCAAGGGCTCCCATTTTTTGTTGGGTTCTAGTTATTTGGTGTAAAACACTTCAACTGAAGTCATGCAAGAGGTTTTACATGGGCTTCCCTGTGGACTATAACAGGATCAACTCCACTATCACCAATGCTCTCACTGGAATCAGGTCTGGAAGTGTCTTAGGCAAGTTTCTCAACAGTTAATGACTGTACATGATTTAGCGTTGTTACAAAATGTACCAATTGATGTTACCCACTGGTTTCACGAATTTCACCAAGTTCCCTAAATTGGCCTGGCCTGTCAGCATAGCGTGGGATTGTGTGCAAGTGGCAGAGGAAAGGCAAGTCACATTAACCTGGAGGCAGCAGGAAAGCAGATGGAGCGAGCATCGGAGGAGGGAGACAGCGACCATCATATTGGGCATCTTGGCACAGTTCATTTTGGCGGGTAGGTGGAATTCCCCAGGAGCAGGTGTGAACAGAATTGAAATGAGAGGATGGCTGGGACTGTTTTGACCTGCAGTAACTTGTGAAAGCCCTAGTAGTTTTCATTAATCTGGTGCTTATATTTGTTATCCACTAACCTGCCTCTCCCAACCCGTACAGTTGTTCAGCGTGAATAAACTATCAGATTTCCCATGCAGGAGGACTCAAACCTTGTGGCATCCAGGAAGAAATGGTCACCAGAAATGTTAAAAATAGTTTGACTTTACTTCAAAAGTAAGTTTCATCGGGTGGAAATTCTGGCTACAAGGCAGAAATTCCCATCAATGCCTCACGTTTTGTTACTGCTTCGATAGTTGGTTGGTTCTTTGCGCACATGAGCATTGGACTGTACAGGAAATGTCCATCGGATTAAGACCCAAAAAGTCACGAGTTAATTCCCTTGATCAGTTGTGTGAATCCAGTGGTCCATCCTAGGTTGGTCTGAATTTCAATGCCAGCAGTTTCACAAGTTTCCAAATTCTGTGCCCAAACACTGCAATAAACCCACCCATCAGTTTTAAGCAATCTACCACCAGATGGTTCACCCTCTCTCAGTGCCAGGAAGCTCATTGCTGGGCAAACAGTCGGAAGCTGGACTCCTTTGACATTATATTCTCAGCAGCAGTATTTTATGTCACATTATTTGCCATCCAAAAAAAAGGATTCACCACTTTTGACAGTAGTTATGGTCAAGTGCTTTCAGATGTTGAAATGTCATAAGGCACTATAAAAAATGTAAATCGGTCTTCCTTACATAACTGTTTCCCTACTCTGCTGGTCAATTTTCTCCTCTCCTCTTCTGAAGATGCAGATTTTACTGCAGTTCTATGGATGCTAATAACATCCACTAACTTGCCCCAAGTGTCTGATGTTCCGGGGTGAGCCTGGATGTGGGGGGGGAGGGGGGGGGGGGGCGTGGTAGCAGGACAGCACAGCCAAAGACAGATTAAATGCTTCAATCACAGCACTGATTTGAGTTAAAAAAAATACTGGAATATTGGAGCTACTTTCATTTATTTTCAATGGATGCACATAGGGAGGAGGGGACAATTCATTAAAAAGTCCAATAAGTCCAGAAGCAGATTTGCTTCTGTAGGAGGAAGTCTGCTAATAGCACGGATTGGCAGAGATGAAGAGAAATACTTTTGCCTAGGTTAGATACCGCTCTGTGCTGGGCTGTCTCCCATAGGCTTAGGGCAAAGGTAAGGATGTCCTCAGTAGGACGTAGAGGAAATTTGTGGAGTCCTGTAGCTCAGTGGTTAGAGCACTCGCTTTGCAAGTGAGAGACCTGAGTTCAATTCCAGGCAGAGGGCGAAACCTTGGGCAAGTTTCCTTACTCCACACAGAGCCTAATAATAATCCCTCCAAAAAAACAAAACAATAATAAAATTGATCATTTTCAATCCATATGACAGTTTGTGGGACATTGCTGTGCGCAATTGGCTGCCGCGTTCGCCCACAAATATACAATCAATTCACTTTACAGTGTGTTCTGTGAAGCGCTTTGGGACGTCCTCCCGACATGAAAAGCGCTATATCAAATGCAAGGATTATTATTATTATTAAATGAACATGTCGAGTGACCACACAACCCAAGGATGATCATATAACTGGATCAGCAGAGCTCAACTTCTCTAGTGAACACCCTGGAGGTAAATTGTCAGCTCTCTGTCTGTGTCTCTCTAACCTCCCCCCAACCTTTAACCTGGATAGCAGGCCAATTGCTCTATATAATAATCCTTGCATTTGATATAGCGCCTTATCACGTCATTGAGAAGTCTCAAAGAACTTCACAGAATATATTGTAAAGTGGATTGACTGTGTATTTTGTGGGCAAAACTCAGCAGTCAATTGTATACAGGTGTATCCCACAAACAGGCAAGTTTTGGTTACCCAATCGTCGGTTAAGGTTTTGCTCTGCTCGAGAATCCTCTTGCTTGCAAAGCGAGTGCGTTAACTAGCTTCTCTCTCCTGAATGGACCCCACAAGCTCTATATGCTTGGGATATGTGAGAGAGGAAGAAAAAAGAGAGAAAGATTAAAATTGAAAATCGTTATGTTGCACCTGAGAACATAGCATTAGACCAGGTCACTACTCAGAATTCCGACAAAAAGTGACCCAGGCAGACTAGCTCTTTTCAGGAAGAATTGGACTACTTTACACAAAATTGTATGTTTTGGGCTTGCAGGTCAACAATTAGGTAGCACAGTTAAGCAAAAGCTGAAAAAAAAAGCAGCCACATTTCAGGGAATGAAAAAAAAATTTCAAATCTAAAATAAATCTTGTGTCCTCTTCATTGTCTTACACGGTTATTCAATATTTATTTTTAACATTAAAAATCAACACCTTGCCCACTGAACATGGGCACTCACTTTGTTATGCTATGAGATTTCAAATGTTTTGCTCAGATATTTTTGACTCACAATGTTATTACAGATAGAAAATGTATAGGGCTTTGGTGAGATCGCACCTGGAGTATTGTGTGCAGTTTTGGTCTCCTTATTTAAAAAAGGACATACTTGACCTTGAGGGGGTGCAGCGTAGATTCATGAGGTTAGTTCCTGGGATGAGGGGACTGACCTATGAGGATAGGCTGAATAAACTGGGGCTGTATTCTCTAGAGTACAGAAGAATTAGGGGAGATCTTATTGAAACATATAAGATTCTTAAAGGGCTGATAAAGTAGACACAGAGGGACTGTTTCCCCTGGTAGGAGAATCTATAACCAGGGGTCACAGTCTTAACATTAATGGTCAGCCTTTTAGAACAGAGTTGAGGAAACATTTCTTCACTCAGAGGGTAGTGAACTTATGGAATTCACTACACCAGAAGGCTGTAGATGCTCAGTCCTTGAACATTTTCAAGGCTGAGACTGATAAGATTCTTGAAAAATAGAGAGATTAGGGGATATGGGGATAGGGCAGGTAATCAGAGTTAGGTCAGAAGATCAGCCATGATCTTATTGAATGGCGGAGCAGGCACGAAGGGCCGAATGACCTACTCCTGCTCCTAATTCTTATGTTCTTATGTTCTTATGCACTAATTATCCAGAGTATTGGCAAAATATAAAAATAGCTCACTCAGGATCATTTCACAAGCTAAATTTACGGATTAAAGTTCAACTTTGGCTTATACTGTAAGCCATGGTCACAGGTTCAGTCATGTGTGGCAACCTCTCACCCAGGCAAATATCCATATCAAATGGAACGGAGAGTTGAAGGTTCCCTTTCATTTCTATTCCCCAAACCTCTAGCAAATTGTACTCAAGGTTATCACTTCCCAGGTTTATCATTATCCTGTGTTAAGTTAGTCACCAAGAGAAATCCAGCACTTTGAAGATTGATTTGTTTCAAACTTCTATCTCCTGAATGGACCCCACAAATTCTCGTTCCATCTCTTTTCACAGCCATCAGATCTCAGAGGATTCGATTCTCTCAATCCAGGGCAGATTCTGTTTGACATCCACCATGTTTGTCAGTTCCAGTTTAGCTGCAATCTCCTGAATCTCTTGCTCGAGGATTTGGTTCCTTTGGTACATCTCCAAATAGCTGGACTGCAGCTGTTTCTGATACTTGATAACTTTCTCCTTCTCCTCCTGCCAGGTGCTCCTCTCCATCTGGAAACTGGTAGCCTGGGCTTCACACTGCCTTCGCTCCAGCAAAAGTTCTGCTTTGAGTTGTTCCACCTGAAGGACGAGGTTTTGAGTGTTCTCTTCCTGAAGGCCTCTAAACTTCAGATCATCCGTTTCACCACAAAGGAAAACTCTCATGGTTTCAGGCGTACCGTCTTTCCTCAGAGCAGTTTCTTGGATTAGGATGGCTTCCTCTTGTTGGTGCAGGTTGCTGGTTCTCCTGGCCAACACCACCGAGCGCGACTGTACGGCACCCTTCAGCAGTGAGATGTGCTCGTCTTTGGCACTCAGCTCCAGCCGGACTTCTCGGAACTGGGTTTTGAGGTTGAAGATCTCGCTCAGTTTCTGCGCCACTTCGGCCTGAGAATCTCGGAGCTGCTGTTTCAAGAGGGCAATCTCGCCTACCTTCTGACAAACCTGGAACAAGAGAAAATTTCAAGGAAAGTGCAACAGCATACAATGTACAATGTAAGATAATAATAATCCTTACATTCAATATAGTGTCTTATCACGTCATTGAGACGTCTCAAAATGCTTCACAGAATATACTGTAAACTGTGTTTGTTGGCGAAATGCAGCAGCCAATTGCGCACACCAGGGTCGTTATTCACAAGCAGTTATGGACTGAATGATCACATTTTTTTTAAGAAAGGGCAAAGTGCATATAGATGCTCACCTTAAACTCTGAGCAGGATCAAACACACAATGTCACTAATCATGTGTACTGTTGGATACTCTGAAATAAAGAACGGAAGTAATTCTGATCCAAGGGATATAGAATCAATTGACCAGAGGTCCACAGTTTACACTCTACGGTCGTGCAGAATTTTGGAAAATTCAACCTTAAATATTATTGAAGACTTCATTTTAAGAATTGTGGAAAACTGGCTTCCAAATAGGCCGAATTCAATCATTTTTTCACAATTCTGGTGGGGAATCCAGAACAAGGGGGTATAATCTTAAAATTAGAGCTAGACCATTTAGGAGTGAAATCAGGAGGCAGTTTTTCACCTAAAGAGTAGTGGAAATCTGGAACTGTCTCCCACAAAGGCTGTGGATGCTGGATCCATTCACATTTAAGACAGAGGTGGATAGATATTTGTTAGGTTAGAGTATTAAGGGATACGGGGCAAGGGCGGGTAATTGGACTTGAAGTACAGATCAGCCATGATCTTGTAGAATTGGCATGCAACGGTTCTCACCCTAATGTAAACCCGCAAAGTTTTCCCACGTAGTGAACTAGGTGGCCTCTGTGTTCAATCCTTCTCTATGAGTGCAAGTTCCCTATTCTAAGATGTAACTTCACTAATGCGAGTCAACACGACGATAGGTATTGCCAGTGCTTTATAATTATAGCAAGGAGAAGTTTCCAGCAGAGTCTTTGCACTAACAGACTGTGACATAGGCTCAACCTGTGTATGTATCTCCCTCCCTCCTGATTTATACAGAGACTCAAGAAGTATGATTAAGAAAGCTCAATGGTATTTTATTGGCATTTCAGACACAACCCTATGCCTTACTTATCTGCCCGTTAAATATGAAAATGGTCACAACGTTCATTAGTAAATCCTAACACACCAAAACTATACAGCTAGTCTAACAGCCTTGTCTAACAGTCTATACAGCCTTGTCTAACATTAGTAAACAACAGAAAAAAACAATCTTGACCCAGAGACTCCTCCTCAAATCAGGTATGTACTTCTTTGATGACAAAACAAGGTGAATAGCGACCAGGAAGCATTTGGGTTCGCTCCTTTTAAGAGATTAAGCCCACCCTCTTCAGAAAGTATCTACTGATACTTTTCCCCTGCCAAATTTACAATCTATCGCTATAGCTCCACCCACTGGATCCTCCTGATTCTCTTTTACTGCCAAATTGTTGAGAAATCTACCCTTGATGTTGCCAACAAGGTATTTTCCTTCAATTAAAAATACTGGCTATTTAAATTGCTCTTAAAGCTATATGCCATCGCTGGGTAACTGCGCATGCGCAAGCTTTCCAATAGCACAAACATCAAGCCTAACACAGGCTAACAATATAGGTACAAATATACATATCAAAAGGTTAAGAACAAATAACAGGGCAAGGCTCAAGGGGCTGAATGGCCTACTCCTGTTTCTATAATACAGCAAATCTCACGTATGTCTGATCTGTATAAATTGTATAATCGCCCAAGTCATAATCACCCAAATTCCATTCAAGAGTTTATATTCTATGCAAGTTTGACATAACTCATACTTTGCATAAGTCATATTAAATGTATGATTCCAACTGATACGACTTGAGGTTTACTGTATTACATTTTAAGATTGAAGCTTTCAGGACCCAGGCACTAGGATTCTCTCCCTTTGCCTTTGAGATCCAAGAACCTGAACAAGTTCCACAGTTTCTTCATCTGCTTTTTTGTCAAACTCTACACAACCCGCTCCATCGCTTCTTTACCAGCAAGGTTAAAGAAACTTGAAATTTAATACATTTGCATTTAAAACCATTGAATTCTGAGCTGCAAAGGATTATAAGTAGCATACCTTTGGACATCTTTTGTTGACATTTATACCGAGTCCGAGTGCTTAATCAGTTTCGTTAACAGTAAACCTACCTCCCATCTGGTTTCCTCTAGCCTTGGGTTCAAGTCGTCTTGTTCCTGCTTGTAAGACGTACAGTGGGTTTTCAGCCCCTCGCATTCCCCCAGGAGTTTGTCAAAATCCTCCTGGAGCTTCTCCTTCTCCTGCTGGACCTTGAAGACTTGGAGTTGGAGGGTCCGTTGGGTATGCTGGGCCTGCTGGGTCACTTGCTGGAGTTTTGTGGCATACACTCGCTTCAACTCCTCCATTTCCTTCTCCCACAGCCTCTGCTTATCCTCAAACACCTGGGCAATGGCGTCCTCACTCTCGTTTAGATTCTTTCTCATCTGCTTCAGCTCCAGTTCTTTCTCATGGAGCCGGTCCTCCAGCTCCTGCATAAAGTCCTCCATTGACAGCGAGAGCTCACAAGATGGGGGCATGTTACCCAGAGGGTTCAGCCTGTTTAGCACAGCCATACTCTTGCAGGAAAAGCGTCCACTGTCACAGTTGGACGCATCCTTGGATCTCAGTGAGCCCCCGTCAACGCAATTTGATCCGACGTGGTTGATTTGGCTCATAGAGGCACTTATCTGGCCTACGTGATGTTTGACGCCTGTTCCACAGGGAGGAAGGCTGGTCATGGAGTTCCGCCCGGAGTCAGACATGTCTTCCTCTTGACTCACAGTCCTGAAGTAATCCTTCTTTTCACTCCTATTCCTCAGTGGCGAAAGCTCAGTCTTACTGAAGACATCGAGACTGGCTGTGCTGTCAGACAGTTCCTTACTCTGGGGCGGATACAGGTTCTGCATCGAACTGAAGTTTTTTGGGACGACAGGCTTAAAGGCAGATGGTCGGAAACGGGACTACACAAGGAAGGCAGGAGAGAAAAGAACCAAGTCAGGGAAGCAAATGATTTATAGAGAGACTGTTCCAATTAGCATTCTAGTTCATTAGAATTACAATGTGTTTCGCTCACAAAATACAGTCAATCCACTTTAAACCTGTGAAGGGCTTTGAGATGGCTCAATGTGATAAGACGCTGCATAAAATACAAGGATTGTTATTACTATTAATGCAAAACAAGTGTAAAATTTTATGTCGAATGAGGATGTGAGATGCCGAGTATATTCTCTTCTCTCTTAACTCTATCTCCACTGACTCATTCAGAACTCCCTAGTTAGCTGCAACATCAACTTCTTCTGTATTGCCTTAAAACACATCCCCAGAAGAACAATCTAGTACAATACCTCCAGTAGTGCAATATTCACACTGATCATCCTTGTTGGTCCAGGTCCCAATATCGTGGCAAATTATGGACAGCTTTGTGCTGTGGAGCTCTACTCACCCAGAAATACCAGATAACCCCAGACCCTAGTTTTACACAGGACTCCTAACTAGCGAGAGAGAGAGAGAGAAAGAGAGAGACTGAAAATTGACCTGAGTCAAACCCAATCCCCTGAGCTGAAAGGAATAGCATGAACAGCTCACCCACTGCATAACCTTTACAAAGAAAACACAAGATAGAAATTTTCAATGAGTGGCAGTAAATATTGAAAGACCCAAATGAGAAAAGGAACATCCTGAGTTCCGCACACAATTTAGTACAATCCAGAAGTACTTGACCTGAATGTCACCCAGTGAGATTAATCAGTTTTACATACAAGATATTTCACAACACCCAACAACAAATTCCTGCAATCAAAAGGGTGTGATATTTAAATTTCCCAGGCCAGCACCCTGTGGCTTCAACTTGAAAGTGCCACATGACAAAGATTGCAATTTTCTGCTTACCTTACAGAATGCCTCCCCAAACTTACTTCACGTGGGACATGCAGACAACAAACTTTCATCTCAGCAGCTTGGGCTGGATTTGAATGCACACATTTTTGATGCAAAACAATCTGTGACATAAGCATCATCACTAACACCCAGTGCCCGAAGGCTCAGCCCTTCCCAATCGGAGAACCAATATCATTTGAATTCAATTATTGGTTTCCATTGATTTTAAATGGAATAAACGCAAAGGTTTTTTTTGGTCAGCCGGCTGTATGACACGTACAGAAACCATCACCAAACTAAACGTGTCCAGCCCAAACTAAGAAATTCCATGCATTCCACCTACACGTGGATAGATTGTTGGAATGGAATGCGTACTCTTTCCATGGAGGGATGCATCCTGCTCACCAATTCCGGAAAGTATTTGGCGCATATTGGCAAGAGCTAAGGCTTGGGACAGATGGATGGCAGAAGATACCAGTGAATCTTTTTGGGATGCATTAAGATAGGGCTGACTGAACAGGAATTGGTTAATTGGGCACTTTTAGTGTGGCAACATCTTAGCTACCCTGTAAAGAGAGTTTTGTTAAAAAACACAGCACATTCTCGCTTTGCTACTATTGCAATATTTGGTGTACGAGGGTAATTACACCAAATGTATTGCATCTCTCCATCTCACCCAGACACACCAGAGAAAGAGGTTAAAATCAGCATTTCTACAACACAGGAGAGTTTGAAGGTTTAATTAACTTTTATTTGCTGATCATCAGTAATGTTGGCTAAATAGTTTATATTCTTCATTTGTTTTAATAGCCTAAGCTCACAATATGATTCAGAAACTGCATTGGACATCAACACTGCACGGTTGCAGTGAAGCTTGAAGTGAGTTAATGGATATTTAAATACACCAAGAACTTTGAAAATGACCCCTCACCATACCAAGTCCAAAGAGAACATCAAGGAGGAGCCCAACTGTGGTCTAAAATGAAGCACATTCCTCTCCGATGGTGCTGTATCAAAGATGCTTCCTGTTTAATGAACACTCACTACTAGAGGCAAGTTTAGGAAACAACTTTCCTCAACTGATGGTTACAGTGCACCAAATAGCAGCAATTCAGGGAGACCTGATGGAAATGGTTGTACAGGAACAGGAGTAGGACATTCAGCTCCTCGGGTCTGTTCCTCCATTCTATTTGATCATGGCTGATCTGTACCTTAACTCCAATTATAATATAATAATCCTTGCATTTGATATAGTGCTTTTTCACGTCTTCTAGATGTCTCAAAGCACTTCACAGAATATACTGTAAAGTGAATTGACTATATATTTGTGGGCGAAACGCGGCAGCGAATTGCGCACAGCAGTGTCCCACAAACAGTCGTGGATTGAGTGACCAAATTATTATTTTATTTTTATATTTTTCTTGAGGGATTATTATCAGGAGTGTGGAGTAAGGATACTTGCCCAAGGTTTCGACCTGCCAGGAATCGAATCCAGGTCTCTCGTTTGTGAGGCGAGGGCTTTAACCACTGAGCTACAGGACTCTTATTAATTAAACTGGTTAATATCGAAACTAGAGGAAATCATTCAGCCTGCTGAGCCAGTTCTGCCAGATCACAGCAGATCTTTTCATCTAATTTCCCACCTTTATTCCCCACAAACACAAGTTCAGACTCGTGCGCAAGTTAATGGAACACTTTGCATGATTGATAACCTAGTAAAAGCAACAAAAATATAATTTTTGGAAACAGACTTCAAACCTTTTCAAATTTCCCTCCAACAGGAAATGAGTTCTTCGTCAAATCGATTTTCTTCCCATCTTTATAGCACAATCTCCCAAAAATCTCATTCTGCTGGACCTTGTGACAGCGTTCCCTGTCCATGGAGGAGCTGCTGGATGCGATCCGCTTCTCAGTCTTCGATCCATTCTTCGTGCTGTTCAGATAGTTCAGCAGCTCCTTTTGGCTCAGTCCTTTTTTGAACAGCCCGTCCTGCTGCCGCAGGTTGTAAGTGTTCCCATTCCTCTTCAGGCCATTACCTGGCAGCTCAGACTTCTCAGCCACGAGGCTGCCCACGCTTCCCATAATGTACTTTTCGTCAGCAGGGGAGAGAGGATAAACGTCTCTGCAATGACTGGTGGTGGAATCACTGGCTAGAGTCAGGGTCTGGATTGTAGCCATGGAACCTCAGGATGACAGAGAAAGTGCTTGATTGTAATACTGTAGAGAGGGAAGAAAACAAAAAATTAACATTAAAGAAATTGCTTTTTTTTTAAAAATGTTAAAATATCCCAGAGCATTTCACAGGTTTTTACTGAACTTACTTGACTATTTTTTATAGGCAAGCACAGCAGCTATTTTGTCCAGACAGATTGGTTATTTACTTCATGGCTGTTTGTGAGCCCCTGCTATGGACAAAATATAGCAATGTGCTTCCCCAGTACTACACTCGAATGTCAACCTGGACTGTGAGCTCTGGTCCCATCTTGTGGCTTGATTCCACAACCTTCTGAACCAGAGGCCAATGCGTCATCAACTAAGCCAAGCATGTGTATAAATGATTAATCAAGATCTAAATCCCAATCTAGCAAAATCTCAGCTTGATGGAAGGTCAACAATAACAACAAAATTATATTTGAATAGTGGCTGTCACGTCGGAGGACATTCCAAGGTGCTGGACAGACAGAGTTTTGGACCCAAGCTGGGGGTCGGGGTCGGGGAGGGTGGAGGGCAGCGGGGGAAGTAGCGAGATTGAAAGCACCGTCAAAGAGGAGGGTCTTGAGATGGGTCTTGAAGGAGGCAAGGGAGGGGGCGAGGTGGAGGGACTGCGTGATTGAGTTCCAGAGGGTGGCGGCAGAGTGGCTGTAAGCCTGCCTGCCAATAGTGGGGCAAGCGAGGCGGGGAACGTGAAGCAAACCTGAGCCCTCTGAGCGGAGGGAGCGAGCAGGGTGGTAGGGGGTTAAGAGGTCGCAGAGATAGTGGGGAGCAAGACCATGGAGGGCTTTGAAGGTGAGGAGCAGGATCTTGAACTGTATCTTCTGTGATGGGAAGTCAGTGGAGTCGGGCGAGGATGGGGGTGATAGGGTCATGGAGCCTAGTGCAGGAGAGGACACGGCTGCAGAGTTCTGAATGATCTGCATCCTATGGGGGGGAGGAGTTGGGGAGGCCGACAAGCAATGAGCTTTGCATAGTCAAGCCTCGATGTAATGAAAGGTCAAACTAAAAGCTAAGCTGCCTACATACTAGAGCTTTATAAATTTTTCCTCATATTGCATTACGCATTTAGATAACTGCTCAATGAATTCAAAGCCATCTCACTCTGTGATGAGATCTTCTACTGTAAACAACTATCTTGCCTTCCAAAATTGGGTGATCTAACAAATGGACATAAATAATCTATTCAATAAGAAATCATTGTTTTAAGGTATCTTGCTGTAAGCTATAATAAATGGGGAATTGTAACAAAACTATCCTTACTTATGCTTACCCTTACTTTTTTTGAAATACTGAAATAAAAGGATAAGTGAGAAGTGAATAGCAGGGGTGGATGCTCATGTGGCGTATAAACACGTACGGATTAGTTGGGCCAAATGGTTTGTTTCTGTGCTGTATCGTTCTATGTCATTCTACATACATTCAAACAGGACTTAAAGTAACCTGATTTTTTTAATATAATGAGAAGAAATTTGAATAAAACATTCACATTACCTAAAAAGATGCAGAGCATTAAACTCCTTCAACTTTTCAAATACCCCTTTAACAGAATTACTGTACAAGGAGAGAAATATGAACTTGGCAAGAGTGCCCTGTGCACCACAACCTGAGGATTCAATTTGTGCCAACGTCACCCCCAAACGTCAGAATTTGGTAATTTACACTAAATTGTATAATTCCTCCAAAGTCAGCACCATAGTTACTATCCTAGGGCAATCGCTTCCCATGTTAACCATCCTGGTGCAATGGTAGAAGGTTGTGGGTTCAAGCCCCACATCAAGACTTGGAATCGCAATGCAACACACCCCTAGCCCTGCATTGGCTGACACTCCAATGCAGTGCTGGGATTGTGTTGCATTGTTGGAAGTGCCGTCCTTCGGATGAGGTCCCATCTGCCTGTTCAGATGTTCGAAAAGGGAAGAGAGTTTCTCTCTCCCAAGGTTCTGGCCAACATCCCCCAAAATAAAATTGGTCACTCACTCCATTACTGCGTGCAAACTGGCTGCTGCGTTTCTCCCACAAAATGCACAATTTATGAACTATAACCTTCATCTATTACCTCAAACTCACACTGTAGAACTAAACAACAGTATACCACATAGGCTTCACCACTAAACACAGTGTTAAAGGATCATTAATGATTTCTACTTTGCTCTGAATATTTGTTGAAACTCCAAGTGATAATGAGGAGGACCAGTGGGGAGAAATTAGTTTCCCTGACAGACTGAGGGAGTGGAATTAACATTAACACAGTCAAAATGACAAAACTCCTCTGAAGCAGCCTTGGGTTACTGATGCAATCACTACTGATGATAGCTCAGCTCCACCATCACTGCCAGACTCAATTAACTCATCCAAATGAGAGGACAAAGGCTCGGGGTTGTGGAGGGCAAGCTGAGGACAGAGACCAGGAAGTATTTCCTTACACAGATGGCGATTTAAAGCTGGAATGTCACCCAGGAGTGCTGGGACAGGCCACAGAAGAACTGTCTGGGAGGAAAGCCTCCCTCATGTTCAGGCACTGTTCTTGGTCTTCACTTGGTTGTGCAGAAGTCAATCAGGAAAACATGTTACTGTGCACACGCACAATGTGCAATAATTATTGTGCATGGAAAGTAATAATATCACTCATTTTACATATGTGCAGACACAAAAACTGCTCAGGACTTTTAAAGGGAAAAGCTAGGGCAAGAAGTAACTCAAATGTCAACAACTCAACTCGAATGCTGTTCTCAATGCAGCAGAGAATGGTCCAAACCCAGGCATTAGTGCTGCACCACACAATGTCATCACCCGACAGGCCATGAGGGGAGGCATGAAGGAACACGTAATTTTTAAAAAACACTAATGTTTTTTCCAAAGAGTTTGGAAAGTAAAATTTTGCATTTAAGTGGAGTGCTGTAATGTGAATTAAGTGTTAAACTAATCAGTTTGTACCAGATTAGCATTTAAACCAGTCAGGATAGGCCTTAATCTGTACTTGCTGTAAGGTTCACAGAGGACCTGAATACCTAGTTTCAGCCTCTCTTGCAATGCAAACTCCATTACAAACCAAGTGGAATACACACAGACTCATAGGAAGCAATGTATGGGCATATATTGTGAGAGATGAGCAGTACCAAGAGTGACTTGTGTGCAAGAGAATCTAGTCACTTGGCAATCCTACCTTCTACAATCTCACCTGATCTGAGCATCCAAATATCTCGGTTCAGCCACGCTGCATTTACAACTCTAGTCACTTCAACTTAGTTGCGGCATTATGATATCTTGGGCTCTTGGCATGATGAAATCCATTCAATTTACATCGTAGTACCCAAGCCAGGAATCACCCCTTGCACTCTGAATGACAAAAAGTCACAGTGCATCTACAATGGTGACTATATTGCTGGAAGCTGCTTTTTTTTTGAGGGGGGATAGAAAAACATAAGAAAAGTACACACAAAACCAAGGAGAAGTAGGAAGCTGAACTTCCACCAAGGCCAAGACATTCACAGGAACAACCTTTTCCACCAGTAACAATATTCACAAAGTATAACAGCTTGGTCCTGTACCAAGTCCATTCTACTTGTTATGAAAGCAGATAAACCAGTCGCAGAGTTGGGTCTAATATGTGATATTTCTTAATAGAGATCACCAGCACATTTGATGTTTCAGATATTCAATATATTCAAAATACCTGTTTAAGAAATACTGGAAATTTAGGCAATGCTTTTGTCTATTATAATAATCCTTGTTTTTGATATAGGGCCTTTCACATTGAGAAAATAGCTCAAAGTACTTCACAGGATTTAGGTAACAGTGCATTTTGTAGGCGAACTTTCATCTCAACCTTTAGTACCTATTGCTACCCCAAAGGCAACATTCGCAGACTTATTTCTTGATGCACAAATCATTAAAGAGAGTCACATTTCAGACAGATCCATGTACTTACCCCATGCACAGGTTCTCAGCCACACTTTTCTCCCAAGAGTGAAATCATTTGCCCGCTGAAGCAGAGGATCGTAAGACACTGAGCTGGAAGGTGAATATCACTGTTAAGAGCAGCTACTTTCAAGTCTAATCCTATAATCACCTGATAATAACCTGACCACATTTCCACATTTAGCTCACAAGTAACATTAGGCAAGTGGTGTTGGCCATGGGCAGGTTTGGAGGCTGCACAAATTCCTCAGAGCATGAAGTGATCACAGAATCAAATAACCCTGCAACAAAAATTTATACACACAAAGCTACCAGGCGTGGAACCAACAACAAAAAATTGCATTGATATAGTACCCCTCATGAAGGGTAATATCCCAGAACCCTTCACTGCGGTGGAGCATGAGGTCAGGCCAGGGGGAGGGAGAGGTGACCATATGCATGGTCGAAGAGGAAAGTCTTCAGACGCAACCCAAAGATGGGGATGGAAGGGGCAAGACGGAGGGATACAGGAAGAGTGTTCGAGAGTTTCAGGGCATAACGGCTGAAAGCGCAGCCACCGATGGACACGAGGGGACATGCAGAAGGAAAGAGCCAGTCGAGCAGAGGCAGCGGGTAGTGGGTTGGAGGTGAGCAGGTCAGAGAGGTAGGGAGGTGCCACTGCATGAAGGGATTTGAAAACAAGTATGGGTGTCTTGAAATCGATCCGTTGGGTGATAGGGAGCCAGTGGAGCCTGGCTAGAACTGGTGTGATGGGGATACTGAGTTTATTTCAGGTGAGTATGTGGGCAGCAGAGTTTTGAATCAGCTGGATCCTGTGCATGGTGGAGGTGAGGAGACCAGCAAAGACGGCATTTGAGAAGTAGAGTCGGGAGGTGATGAACGCATGGACAAGTGTTTCAACTGCGTCTGAGGTAAGGTACCGTCGGAGGCAGGCAATGTGGCGGAGGTGGAGGAAGGTGGTCCTGGTCAGGGATCAGATGTAGAATCATAGAATTATACAGCAGAGGGAGGCCATTCGGCTCATCGTGTCTGTGCTGGCTCTTTGAAAAGAGCAATCGAACTCAATCCCACTGGCCCGCATTCTCTCCATAGCCCTGCAATCCTGTCCTACCCAAATACCCATCTACTTCTCTCTTAAAAGTTGTTATCGAATTGGCTTTCACCACCCTTTCAGGCAATGCATTCCAGATCAGAACAACTCGCTGTGTGAAAATATTTCTCCTCACCTCCCCTCTGTTTCTTTTAACAACTATTTTAAATCGGTGTCCTCGGGTTACTGACCCACCCACCAGTGGAAATAATTTCTCTTTGTTCACCCTATCGAATCGCCTCATAATTTTGAAAACTTGTATGAAGGCTCCTCTTAATCTTCTCCACTCCAAGGAGAATAATCCGAGCTTCTCTCACCTCTCCTCATAACTGAAATCCCTCATTCGTGGTAAACAACAACAACAAGATTCCATTTATAAAGTGCCTTTCACGTCAGGAGGACGTCCCAAGGCGCTGCACAGTTGGGTCATGACCCGAGCAGGGGGGAAAAATAAACCTCCTTTGCACCCTCTCCAATGCCTTGATATCCTTTCTAAAGTGTTGTGCTCAGAACTGAAGACAGTACTCTAGCTGAGGCCTAACCAGTGTTTTCTAAAGGTTCATCATAATTTCCTGACTTTTGTATTCTATGCCCCTATTTATAAAGTCGTGCATCCCATATGCTTTTTTAACTGATTTATCTACCTGTCCTGCCACCTTCAAAGATTTACTTATATGAATCCCCAGGTCTCTCTGTTCCTTCACACCCTTTAAGATTGTACCATCTTATTGACCACTGTGAGGAAGGACGGCTGTGGGTCGAATGTGACACCTAGGTTGTGCACTGGTTCGGTGAGTCTGAGGGATAGGCTAGGGAGGGTGAGGAGGTCAGAGCTGCAGGACAGAAGATGTTGACAGGAGTCAATGAGTATGGCTTCCATCTTGTCAACATTTAGTTGTAAGAAGTTTGCGCTCAGCCAGGCTCTGATGTCTGCTAGACAAGCTGACAGAACATTGGTGGACCTGGAGAAGTAGATTTGTTGTCATCCGCATACATGTGGAAGTATACCCCATGTCTGCAGATGATATCGCCAAGAAGGAGCATATAGATGAGGAAGAGGAAGGGGGCAAGGATGAAGCCATGGGTGACAGAGTGGGGCGGGAGGAGAAACAATTTGAAGAGACAAAGTGATGGCAGTTTGCTAGGTAGGACTTGAACCAGGCTAGTGTGGTCCCACTGAGGTGAATGAGGGAGGAGAGGCGGTGAATGAGGATGGCATGGTCGACTGTGTCGAACACGGTGGAGCGGTCCAGGATGACGAGGAGGCAGAGGGAGCCCAGGTCAGAGAGAGAGAGGACGTTGTTTGTGACCTTGACAAGCACCATCTCTATGCTATAGGCAGGACAGATACCAAACTGGAGGGGCTCGAGAAGAGAGAGGTGAGAGCAAAACTGGTTAGTGACAACAAGTTCCAGAGCTTTGGCAAGGAAGGACAGGTTGGAAATGGGATGGTAATTTGTAAGGTTGGAGGGGTCAAGATTTTTTTTTGAGGTGGAGAGTGATGACAGCTGTTTTAAGAGGGAGAGGAACAGAACCTGAGGAGAGCAACTGGTTGACCGTGTCAGCCAGCAGTGGGGAGAGGAGGCAGAGTTGGGTGGCCAGCAACTGGGTGGGGAGGGGTTCGAGGCAGCAGGTGATGACCAATCAAAAGCTGTTGAATAGAATGGGCTGTCACTCATCGAACATCTTCACTTTTGGAAACCTGTACCATAGTGGTTAGAGCACTTGCCTCACAAGCAAAAGGACCCCTGTTCAATTTCCGGACAGAACAAAAACCTTACGCAAGTATCCTTGCTCCATACGCCTCTGTTTACCCAGCAGTAACAACAACAAAATTACATTTGTGAAGCGCCTTTCACGTCGGGAGGACGTCCCAAGGTGCTGACCAGTTGGGGATCAGAACCCAAGCATGTGGGGGGAGGGTTGGGGTGAGGGAGGGCAGAGAGGTAGGGGGGCAGCTGAAGGCACGGTCGAAAAGGAGGGTCTTCGAGTCATGTCTTGAAGGAGGCAAGGGAGGGAGCAAGTGAAGGGATGTGGGATGGAGTTCCAAAGGGTGGGTGCAGAGAGGCTGAAAGCCCGGCTGCCGATGGGTCGGGCATGAGACATGGAGCAGGTCGGAGCCTGCTGAACAGAGGGAGCGGACAGGTTGATTAGGGGGTTAGCAGGTCAGAGAGGTAGGAGGCGGCAAGGCTGTGAATGTGAGGGCGAGAGTTTGAATTCTATCCTCTGAGAGATGGGGAGCCAGTGGAGCTGGGCGAGTTTAGGGGTGATGGAGTCACAGAGCCTGGTCCGAGAGAGGACATGAGCTGCAGAGTTCTGGATGATCCACAGAAACTCTCCTTGTTGGCCTCCCCAACTCTTCCCTCCACAAGCTGCAGATAATATTAATGCAAGGATTATTATTATCTGCATCTTATGGAGGGAAGAGTTGAGGAGGCCATCAAGGAAAGAGTTTCAGTAGTCAGGCCTTGAGGTGACAAAGTAGGAACCCAGTTGTTTGTCGATTGGCAGATCGCTTTACAGGGGTAATGATCCCTCCAAAAAAATGGTCACTTAATCCATGACTGTTTGTGGGATATTGCTGTACACAATTGGCTGCTGCGTTTCAGCCCACAAAATACAGTCAATCCACTTTACAACATATTCTGGGATGCACTTTCAGATGTCTGTGATAAGGCACCATATCAAATGCAAGGATTATTATTATTATTTCTTCCAGCTCACACTCACTCCCAGGGCGTTGCTGAGGTAAATTTCCATAGTCAGCTGTCTGGTCCCAGATGGCATTTTTATCACATTGAGTCTAGACAATGAGTGCCAGCTGGCTCTTTGACAGGGCACTTTGATAGGATAGCGATCAGAAGGAACCGTGGCAGAGACTAAAACTTGGGTGGTCTTAACACTATTACTTTGAGGTAGATTGGACTAAGGCTGGTGGCTGTTTGGGAAGCGCAGGGAAGGATAAGATGTGGAGGGATCAGGAAGCTATAATAATACTCATACTTCATTTTGATATAATATCAAAATGTCTCAAAGTGCTTCTCAAGTGCAGAGATTTTATTTACAACCAGTTTGCCCCACAGCAATGACCTGGAAATGGTCATGAAATGAATGACAATAATAATCCTTGCATTTGATATAGCGCTTTATCATGTCGCTGAGATGTCTCAAAGCGCTTCTCAGAACATATTATAAAGTGAATTGATTGTACATTTTAAATTGTGCATTTCGTGGGCGAAACGCAGCAGCAAGTTGCGCTCAGCAATATCCCACAAACAATCATGGATTGAGTGACCATTAATTTTTTTAAAAATAAGTGATCTGCCAATCGACTAACAACTGGGTTCCTAAATACTGCAAGGTGAACAGGTGTGTGGAGTAAGAAAACTTGCCTTACGTTTCATCTTGTCCCGCAAACGTGGCAGCCAATTGCACACAGCAGTGTCCCACAAATATTTGTAGCTTGAGTGACTTTTTTTTAATAAAGATATTATTATCCCTGGAAAAGCAATCCGCCAATCAACTAACAACTGGGTTCCACTTACTATTAGGTAAACAGAGGTGTGTAGTAAGTAAACTTCCCAACGTTTCACCCTGCTGGGAATCGAACCCAGTTCTCTTGCTTGCGTGGTAAGTGCTCTAACCACTCAGCTATAGGACTCACAAGTTAGCCTAGTGGCGAAGCAGAGGCTTAGAAATGGAACAGCAAGAAATTCGGAGAAACTGTAGATAGATGGGCCATCCCAATAGAGGGTTGTGAATTTGGGGGCCTTTTCTTGCATAGGCAATAAGATAATTTCTTTTCCCTACTAGGAAAAGAATGGGAAATTGGTCAGATGCTACATCAGATGCAAACTCTGTTTAACTGAAAAAGCCAAGTGGATCCAATTAATGAAAAAAAATCACAACTTCAGGAAGTCACAAGTCAAATCCATTAGTCATTTTACATATACAGTGTTACATATATAGAGAAAACTATAAATGTTAACACTAAAATAGTGCT